CAACATTATAAACATCGATCAAAGGATTAACCGATAACACGCTGATTGATTAATTACTTTTATTTTACACAGCGGATTTGTCAAAAGGTAGTGTTTATGTATGAAGATTTACTAATCTATACTGAATACACTCTGTCGTGTCGGTGTCTGCGTAAAAACAACGTCCTTCTTTCAAACGATTAACCGGCAATACATTGATTGATTGCCCATTATTGGCTAACTAAATTACTGTTTTTAAAGAAAGGCGGACATTATGCAATTAGTTGCCAGGTGTGCTATCTTGGGTGACCAATGAGACTATACACCAATGTGAAATACCTGAAAAGATTTATCACTTTTTCGTATATTAAACTGTTAAAAGACACATCACTTGGAACAGTTGCAGATGAATGGCATATCACTCGTTTTTGTGGATATTGATGGATACATTCCTCGAACAAGGTCATAGCCTGACATTGTTCCTATAACTTTAATCTGTTTAAATTTTAATATTTGCATTTTGTTTTTATTCATTTGTCATAGCATTCAACAGAATCGTTGTTTTCGCCGTGAAGTGTAATGAGACAACATACACTAGGGTGTGCGTGCGAATTTTCTTACACACCCGTGGGTGAGAAACCCATGTGAGAAAACTGGTATCACACATATGTGTGAGATCGATTTCTAATCCCGTGATTGGCTACTCCATGGTGATGACCTAGGGTCAGGGTACGACGGACTACTTTCCTGATTAAAATTCATTGATAAGTTACTCGTGCTTCAATCGAACAGAAACCTGTTACTCGTGCAAAAAATACCCCTTTACACCTACCTGTTATTTTCGCGATTGCAACATAAACAGGTATTTATACAATGAGTCACAAGTAGAATAAATATAACACAAATCTATTTATTTTCTAATTCCTTTTATTAAGACTTTTGATTCCTAGTCATGAATTCAAAATGGCGCCAACACTCAGTGATACCTGTGTAAACAATTATGTGAAAATAACCGTTAGAGTTAAAGCCCTTGATTCCCTTCGAATATTCAAAATGTACAACACTAGTACTTTTACTGGAGAGATGCGACAAGTGTCATGTGTCGTCTTGCAAAAATACCTGACACGATAACGTCAGTGCCTGTCCATTGTGAGATCGATTTGCCTCGTTGTTTCTTTGATGCATTGATGAAGATGACATTTTTCACTGATACACATGATGAAGACTCACTTCCAGCTCCGAGATACTATGTGATTCAAATGTTATCGTGAAATTAACTCATGACAATCAGAACCAAAACACACTCGTTGAAACAATGTACGACATGGTACGTTTTGCAAGGCTTCATGAGTGCAAATGGCGGCACACGTCCTTTCTATTCAATCGAACATGTACAAGAACGGTTGATCTACACATAAGTCATTTCTCAAGATATTCCTCCGACGCATGATAATGAAAAGTTTATGTCTTGATACCATACAGGATGTAATCAACTCACATTTCATACTGAAAACTCCGTAAATTCCATTACATTCCAAGTGGCAGTTTCTGGCTCGGGAAAACGAGAAGGATGTGGCGAAGAAGAGTAGTCCCCCATTGACAGTGAACGTAACCTCAGCAATGTCACATTCAAGCACACTGGGTGCACCTAATTACACACACCCAAAGATGGGAGAACATTGAACGTAAACTGGTACACAAGTACAGATCCCCAATGTGCAGAGATATCCAAAACAATCTTTCGATGACGACAACCACCAAGCGATAACGATGACGTCACTCGCTCAAATATTTTACGCTTGCAAGAATTAAAATCATCCACATTTGCATGGTAACATCATCGTTTTAGAGGGTTTAATTAATTTTCTGTGATCTTATCTAGTTATCATTATCACCATTGCCTTGATGATGCGAAGAGGTGGCAGAAACCTTTTTGTGGAGGGTCACCATGGGGATGAGTAGTGATTAGGAAGCCAAGTGACGTCACTCATTCATAAACGTTGTGTTGTGTATTATTGCGCACCTACGATGAGAAAACATGAAATTTGAATCTATTCGACCATAAAATGGTGCGATTTTATGGTGTAAGAAACAGATTACTGTACTCGTGTCTGTCAGATACCATTTATCTTACAACGAGTTGTTTCAAAACGTATTTAACTCGCTTTCGCTCGTTAAATACGTTTTGAAACAACTCGTTTTAAGATAAATGGTATCTGACAGACACTCGTTTAGTAATCTCTATATGATTCACATTGGCAAACTATAAAATGTCTAGATATTACAGTTCTGTTATAAATTCACTATAAGTATCAGCAGATCGTCTGCTTTCTATTTAGTTTCAAAATGCATTCAAGTATGATAATAAACTCATTAGGATTATAAGACCAAATATAAAGACGTACATTGACTAGTATCTACATACTGGTGAGTGGACGTTAACCATGTGAATGCAGCAAGAAATTTATCGCGCAGTATTGTGACTTCGACCCCCACCTCGCTTCCGTGGAAGAAATCGTTATGTTATAAGTTGTGTCATGCAAAATGCTTTTGGTTATGATTCAAATACATATTTAACTACGAGTCGAAAGCAGTTTTGATTTTCTAACTTGATGAAAACAAACCATAATCTCATTAATTCTAACATACTTTAGCCCGTCACTTTACGATTTTCAAAAATGGCGGCGCCCAGTCGCGAACATACGCCAGTCTGAGGATAAATGCTATTTAGGTTTGTTTTCACCGAGTTACAAAATCGAAACTACTTTCTACTGGTAGTAACATATATATTTGATTGATTGCCAATAGGATTTTGCATGACATAGCTTATAACATAACAATATCTGTCGTGGCAGCGAGGTGGGTGTCAATATAATACTACTTACAATATTATTGTTACTTCGACCACAACCTCACTTCCGAGGAAGAAATCGTTATGTTCCAAGTTGTGTCATGGAAAATCTTTATGGTCATCAATCATATACATATTTGACTACAACTAGTAAGTAGTTTTGATTCTTTAACTTACGTGAAGTGAAGCGATCTGAACACAAATAAGATGTCGTTTCAGGCTTTCACAACGCTCGTTTCGCACTCACAAACATAACCCATTTAGCACGAACTGCGGGGTCCTGTGGAAATCTGTGCATGGTGACACCATCGCCCGACCCCTAGGAGCAATTGACGACAAAGCAACGATTCGGCATGTCGTCGTTGATGTCGAGAAATCATCAAAATGGTGAGCGTGCTACACACTTGCTATACAACTAACTGAAAATCGCTCCTCATATGACGTCACTGCAGTGCTCTGGCGACAGAGTTACGTAACCTGTCTGTGGTTTCGTTGGCGGGCGAGAGTGAAGCAGGCGACTTTTGGGCAACTTTTAATCGCTCGGTATTAATTAACCACAAGTTTTTTAAGAGTGAATTTGGTGTTCCGCATAAGTCTAACCACAAATCTCTCATATGTAATAGTTAAAAGAGTAAAAAAAACAAAGTTTATTTGTTCTTTAAGTTCAGTGTGGTTTTATATCTCATTGAACAGTATTTCAATAATGTCTATTTTATATTTGCATTTGGGTTATTAAAACGTGTCTTCTAAACATCCACGTTTTATTGGAATTATTTCACGTTCTTGCTACTGGCCAATACAACATCGTCGTTTCTTGGTTACCCAGCCATGTTGGCATTTCTGATAACATTGTGGCTGGTGCGGCAGCTAAAGCAGAACTCAACAAATCTGAGACTTCTTCCCTATACTGGTTGCAGACCTTTCATTAGAACTTATATTCCTGATCTAAGTGGGGCACTCGAGTAGTGATGAATAAATGACATCAAAATAAGCCTACTTTTGGTAATTATCAAATGTACATACTCGACTGACAAATAACGTTGATCTGGTCGTCCAAGGGTGACAACAGTCGGACACGAACATCAGTGTTATGAAACCCTGGTCAAAGTGCCTCTCAATATGGAGATGAGACTAATAAAGCTAGAGGTGTTAGCGTGAGTGAACAATATGTGTTAAAGTGATTGGACGGACATTCGAAATCAACAACACAGGTGCATCTTGCTTGCCCGACGTCCACGTGTTATCCGACCTCCACGGCAGCGCTGGACTATTCGTCGTTGGGAAACAGGTGGGACGATCGTTCTCATGTCGTTAACGATAGACAGAACGACCGTGGTGTGGGTGACTTAGTAATGGTGTGGGATGTTTGGGATCACTGTTACTGGAAGAACGCATTTACATGATATTCTCGGACGGACACTGGTCAGCACTACCGTGACAAAATCTTTGATTGGTGCTACTTGCTCCACGACATGGACATCGGTTTGTGTTTCATGATGCAACGCAAGCGCACACAGGGCTCGTATTGTTACTGTGTACCTGCAACAGGAGAACACAACCACCTTACATGGCCAGCACTAAGTCCAGACTTGTCACCCATCGAACAAATCTGGGATGTGCTTGGACGGCTCAACAGAATGTATATACACCGCCACTCAACACGCTCAACAAACTTTGGGAGAATGGGATGGAAAAAAATAGTTGACTCTGGCCGTTTACTTCGAGCATGCCTCGTCGAATCCTGGATTGTCTTGAGAATAGCGGCGGATTCACACGATATTAATGTGACCTTGACTTTTCATTGTAAATGACGTGATGGGTAGTAGGGCGCAATGGCCAATCATGTAACAAACGCTATGGCCGTCAGACTTGCAGCGACTAATCCAGATGTCAGTCACAGGACTCTGTCGAACTGTTAAACTAAATTAGATATCAGTAGCTGAGACTCCTGATGAATATCCCCCGCTTACTAATAGCATAATAGTTTCACAGTGACAAAAAGTTACCCTATGGCCTCGTATCATTGCTGTCTATCTTACTTGTTATGACGTCAAACCTAACACTATATGCCTTCCTGGCTCAAACCTGACATATCTCGTGGTATAGAATCTCTCCAGTGTGCATGAATTAACATGCCTGTTCAATATTCAGTTGACAGGAATCACGGTAGTAAGCGGGTACACGAGAGAACACCAGTATTTCAGTTTCACGGAAGTAAATTAACCTGTTTACATCACGTGTATGGGTGTTGACAACGCCAGAATACCCAGTCAAAGGATGAGGCTAAAATTAGATTTCACTTCCTGGTTGGTCGGACTACCTTCAATCCAAAGGTGCACATACCATACGCAATGTAAGTACAGTTTTATTGATGAAGTATTATATTTCTTCATTCTGTATGTACGGTGGTTGGTGGAAATGGTATATGAATGATGTAATCTATCTCTGAGTCCAGTTACACCCACATTGTGAAAATACAATCATTACATGCAGAATATATGCTGGACTCAGAAATGTTTAAGACAGTCGTTACGTAACTTATACATTTATTACTCAAATAGTTTACTTCTGTAATCAGAGTACATGTTATGTGAATGTAAGGTAATGTGTATTGTGTAATCCACTACACCTCCAGCCAGGCGTCCGTTATCATATTTTCACAATCAAACCATAGCCACTATCGGAGCACACATACACAGAGCGCAGTATGTGGGTCACACTTGTCTAGTATTTAGCTGGTGGTAAGAAGCAGATTTTGTGTGTCGGAGATTGCTTTCATATTTTAAGGCATGTCTTGTTTGTCTAGGCATTTAGATGAGGACACACTAAATGACTAGACAAACAAACGTATTTGTTACTTAAGATATTATTCAATGTTAGTGATTACTGATAAGATAGATGTCCCTGGATCATATATCATTTGTGTAACCAACCGGGATCTGTTTCTGTTTGTACTTGTAGAAATCTCCATATGTTTATCTTGTTTCATCTCTGTATACTAATAATTCTGCACTTTATTTTGCAAATTTTGTTTTGCGCGTATGTCTACACATGGAACTTAATCCAGCACCCCTACCCCCCTAATATATTTCATCAAAGTGGTGTAGTTATCGATGATGAAGATATGTCAGTGATGCCATTGTTTAGTAGCACATTTCAGATAATGAAAAGCAAGGTTTGCCAAAACTGTTACCTCTGTCCGACTGACACATACCTGAGCCTTGTGAGTTAAAATGTAACGTCGCATCAACAGTTTTTCACATACAGGAACCAGCTTCGTTCAGCACCTCAAGCTCTTTGACAGAGGCTTCGTTACAGTCTGTTTCTTCATAAGATTACAACTGTGTTCAGAGAAGAGAGAAGTATATAAAGACAGACAGACTTTATTATCTTAACCCATGATTAGCCTCTGGCCATAGCAGAGAGTCATGGTTACATGTGTAGTGAATCACGATGTACAGTCAAAATTAACTGCAGAGACAACTAGACTACTCAAAACAAGTTAGGGAACACTGGTATGTTTGCAAACAGGAACCAAGGACAGAGACATGTGTGGTAAATTCATTATTTACAGACAGACAGGCAGACAGGCAGACAGTTTTATTTCAGTATATATGGCCATGGCCCACATTACAAAATAATTTTACATTTTATTTGATGCTGGTAAAAGCAGTAACAGTCATACATTATTGCCTTTGAAAGCTATGGAACCATTTTTGCACAATGTACAGGCATAATATACCCTTCTAAAGAAAAAGTAGCAATACTTATCAAAACATCATCCTTAGATGACACAAGTCTAACAAAACTTACTGAGTAAACAGAAAGGGAAATTCATGAACAATCCATTTTAGTTCATAATGTGAACACGTGGTGATGTCAGTAATGTCACTGGGGTCAAAACCGACCAAAATCAAGAGAAAGGTCAGTGACAAGCGTGACCGAACCTAGCAGCCACACATACAACACAACGGCGCCTCATGCAGCTTTGCACCATGAATGGCGATAGTTTTCTCGGCAACGGATACGACGACAGACGGCAGTTGTCCATACACATAGAGGGTACACTAAATATCTATTGTTCAACGTTCCCAGGTCAACAATACACGTTAAGGTTTTGTCACATACACACCATATTGCATCATCCTCACTCTGGCTCCATACTTGTAACATTTTGAGCCAATTTGGATGATTTGTGTATTGTGCCATATTCACTATTAAAACCTTGAAGAAAACTGTCCGTTTTGTGTTTTCTTGTAGTCAAGCTATGATGTTACAGGAAAATATAGATAAAACCCATTTCAGATAAGGTCACATTTACTATATCGGTTATACATGTTTTCAATTCATACATTTTTAGGAATGACACTCGATGATGGAAATGGTGATTCTAATTGGAGGAACTTTGTTGGTGACACTGTTGTCTCATGTTGAAGGTATGTGCATAGACGTTTCCATTTGTGTTTGTTTTGTCTGAACATTCATATGATATTTGATCATTCGTACTGTGTTACAGAATCATGTTTTAGGATGTTCTAAATACAAGAAATCGTCATGTTTGGCTGTTGATCATGTAACTGTCACTAAATATTACTTTATTCAATTCTATTTGAGAACACCCCGGACAACAAACATGTGTTTAGACTTTGAAACATTCAAAATTGAAAAGCGTCCCATTGTATCCTTGAAGGAACTAAAAAAGCTCGATTTAATTTGTGTCACGGAAAAATGAAGGCCTTCGTGCACACTTGATGCATGGAAAACTCAGAGAGACAGATGACATTTACTCTTACCCACAGATTGAATTGCAGAGTGGTCTCTGAATCTGTGAGCGATTTCTTTTAGCTATGAAACAATATGTATCATGTTATGTTTATTTGTTTATTGAAAGTATTGTCTAATGATTGTACCAAATTAGATACGCTTGCTTTACTAATATTCGTATTTGTAGCAAGGCATCGTATTAATAATACCTTGAACAGGAACGATTTTTGTTATTTCAGTAGATGCAAAAAATGTATCCATTGAATCCATTGCAATAAAGAATTGTCCTTGTTCATCATACCAGCATCTACGTGACACTGAAAAATAATTAACATGAATGTCTTGACATTTGCCACAAGTTCATTTTTCGAAATTAGCATTGTATATCTACCTTTCTTAAGTATTATTCCCTGGAAGCTATCAGAGACACAAATAGCGAGAACAAATAACCAAAACATACATTTTGGAAATGGGTATATAGGCTTATGGATCGCTTGTTATATACATTAATATAGAGGAGAGTATCAGTTGAGAAGAATGACGCAGCACATTGAAGAAATATTCATCCATCCATCAGGTCAGACAATGTCACTGTGAGATTCATCATCGTTACTACAAGAGTATGACCGTCCACCTGTAAAGTGATACATCTGTCTCATATCTACCCATATATGTATCTTTGATGATCCGGGCTTGTCAGCGACAGAATAGGACCTTTCTCGCCAGCTGGGACAGTGGGTATAGGTTCAGTACAAAATGAAATCGGATGTTTCTTGCGCCCAAACAAATCATGGAAACTATTCCCATAACCTACGTTTCTATGTGTCGCGTGACTGTGACAACCAACTGGTGTACTCATGATAAAGGCTCAGTTGAGATAAAGATATTGACAGAGATAAAAGTAAACACCCAGATTCTTTCACAAAACTTTCAAGCTTCGGACAATAAAGTCGAAAATATTTCATCCGAAGTTCACGTGCATATCGAGGGATTGAGAATCGAACACAAACTCAATAAAGATCAAAACCCCAGTTCACAGAGGTGGGCGACAGATTTAATGATTTTTCATGGAAGATATGCCAGTAGGGCGAAATGTAGATAGATGTACCTGTCATCGTTAAAATTATCACCGCGAGTGTCAAAGGTAATGCTTGCAAACAGGCCCAAGTTCTGCTACAATCACCGGTGATTTCCCCGCTACATCAGAGGAGTTATGTCAAAAGTAATGCTTTTTTAAGTGGCATGTTAAGAAGTTGGAGAATCAGATAAGGACTAAAGTTTATGGATAAACAACTTCTATATTCGGATGATGCGACGTTTCGAAACAGATTCTTGTATCGTTGTCAAGCAGGTATGAGAAAGACTGAAACAGGTTGAAATATATAGTAGGATAAAGCAAAAAGCAGCCTGAGTGTGTGCAGTATGTAGTGAACTGTATGTGTATGTATGTGTGTACCTGAATATGTATATATGTGTGAACCTGTGTATGTATATCCTGTGTATGGATGTATGTGTGTACCTGTGTATCGATGTATGTGTGTATGTATGTGTGCGAGTGCGTGTGTGTGTATGTATGTATGTGCGCGTGAGTACGTTATTGCGTACATGTTTGTGCGAGAATGTCATAGCCTAAGCCTGTGATTGTGTATGTGACTGCGTGATTGTACGATGTGTGTGAATGCAGGATTGCGTGAGGGGTTGAGTGAGTGCATAATTGCGTGTGAGTGTGCACGTTTACGTCCATATGGTGAAGTGCTTTTATAACATTTGTGTGATCAAAATATCATGTTATTAATCTGGAATGTATGTAATGGTGTGTTTTATTTGTATTCTCTTATTTTATTGTATTACTGTGATAATGCTTGTGATTTTAGTGTCTCATAGGCCAAATGGCCGGGTGCTTTTTGTGTTTAATGTATGTCTGTAATGTAATGTACTGTATTTTATTGCAAAACCACGTGACACTTTAATAAACATTCTCTCTCTCTCTCTCTCTCTCTCTCTCTCTCTCTCTCTCTCTCTCTCTCTCTCTCTCTCTCTCTCTCTCTCTCTCTCTCTCTCTCTCTCTCTCTCACTCTGTTGATCAGGGGTCGGTGTCATTTGATGTGGATCGCTTCATTTAATTTCCGTTTCGATAAGGCCTTCTTCGTAGAGGGACTGCATGGGCTGGGGGGTCGAAGCTGCCTTCACCTTCAGCTTTTCTAGCGTCTCCTTCGCCTACAAAAAAGCAAAGAATTATTAACCATTTGGGTCCAACAAACAAAGAATCATTAACCATTTGGTTCCAAACTTTTCCATTTATGAACCCGCCAACAACCAAATAACGACTGTCGCGAGCTGTAGGGATGAATCTCGGATCTAGCTGTGCATTTGCCATTTCGAAATCGAATGTGAATCCATTGACCATTCCATAGACATTTATACGAAAGATATGAACAGTGTTCAATATTGGCACTCTGCTAAGTGTTATTTTAAACTTTTCAGTCATTTGGAAGTTACATGTGCGACGAGTTCACCTTATCAAAACATCTAGAGTAGATTATTTACAACGCTAATTAAGCCTAATCAGAACCTAACCTTCAAAGGAAACCGCAGGTCGGCGTCCTGAGACTAGTGGAAAATCGAAAGGTCGGCGTCCTGAGACGACACCGGGTGCTTAGTCGACAACGAAGTGTTCAGTAATCACAGAGGAGCAAAAACAACATTCTCAAGCAATGACACGAAAGAACAAGAAATCTGAATGATCAATGTGCTGTTATACAAAACAACCTTAGCGCTGAGACTACCTTACTTCTATGTTAAGGTATGGGAGTTAGGGTAACCTTAGCGCTAAGATCGCTTGTACAACGGCACCCAGGGCCGTAGTTAACTTTTCTTAATAGGGGGGCGCTATACACATTCGAGGATCTTGGGAGGTCCGGGGCATACTCCCCCGGGAATTTAAAAAAAAAATCAGATGCTGTCAGATACAATTTCCTGCTTTCTGAAGGTAAACTGAATCATGTAATCTACAAATTTGTATAAAATGTGTGTGTTTTTTCATGCTACGTTTGAGTTTCTTTGTAACATCTGTACATAATGTTCAGAACTAAATTTCATAAATATGTTTTAAAAATATCTGTATATTTCAAAACAACTGTTTTATTCAGTTTGAGTATTAATGTACACTAATATACACACACACACACACGCACTCACTCACATACAGGTTACCTACGGCCCTGATGGTGCATATCAGTAGATGGAGCGGGTTTCACGTGGCTTTTGTTTGGACCCGGAAATAGAATAGATCAGGGGGGAGGTCACTCCAGATCACGGAAGCAACAACAACCGTGTCGGAAATAGGCTTGTTCACTCTGTCATGGAAGATTGAGTGACTACATGGAAATCACTATAGTAACAGTAAGTTGAAGCACGTGTTATGCCCGAAATATACCAGTTTATAGATCTCTACTGGCTACCGAACAGTTATCGCCATATTTTAGCGGTATTTACAAAATTACTCCGCTGTTCGTTAAATTAATGAAACAGAATTAAGTATGGTACTTAATTAGCTATTCACCGATGTGTTCAGTCTGTTCAATGCCGCCGATCATGTATTTATTTAACGCGGCGGAAGGGAATCATGGCAGTACAAATAGATGTTTTCTCACAACTGACTGTACATAACAGTTATCGCCATTCAGAATGTCTAATGCCACTCGTGAAATAATATATCGATATATTTATGTTACTTCCCTTGAAGATTTTTTTTTGCTGTGCATTGTTGCTGTCAAATACCGTGGGGGAAAAATACCGGAATTGTAAATGACCGGAACTGCGCACGTGTGATACTGATGTATTTGCGGTAACTGTTCGCTGGCCAGTATAGTATTGTAATATGCACTGGTTTCTCACAGAAAAGTATGTAGTTATACAGTGTAGTTTTTTTGCATACTGAAAGGTCAAAGACCTATTATAAATGCAAATATGCAAGTATATAGTTTTTTGGAGTGTAGAGCAGTTTAGTGCAGTGGGGAGCAGTCTAGTGCAGTGTAGAGGAGAGGAGAGCAGTTTTTTTAGGTGTAGTGCAGTGGAGAGCAGTTTAGTGCAGTGGAGAGCAGTTTAGTTCAGTGGAGTGCAGTTTAGTGCAGTGGAGAGCAGTTTAGTGCAGTGGAGAGCAGTTTAGTTCAGTCGAGAGCAGTTTAGTGCAGTGGAGAGCAGTTTAGTGTGGTGGAGAGCAATTTAGTTCAGTGGAGAGCAGTTTAGTGCAGTGGAGAGCAGTTTAGTTCAGTGGAGAGCAGTTTAGTGCAGTGGAGAGTAGTTTAGTTCAGTGGAGAGCAGTTTAGTTCATCGGAGAGCAGTTTAGTGCAGTGGAGAGCAGTTTAGTTCAGTGGAGAGCAGTTTAGTGCAGTGGAGAGCAGTTTAGTTCAGTGGAGAGCAGTTTAGTGCAGTGGAGAGCAGTTTAGTGCAATGGAGAGCAGTTAAGTGCAGTGGAGAGCAGTTTAGTTCAGTGGAGAGCAGTTTAGTGCAGTGGAGAGCAGTTTAGTTCAGTGGAGAGCAGTTTAGTTCAGTGAAGAGCAGTTTAGTGCAGTGAGTTCAGTTGAGAGCAGTTTAGTGCAGTGGAGAGCAGTTTAGTTCAGTGGAGAGCAGTTTAGTTCAGTGGAGAGCAGTTTAGTGCAGTGGAGAGCAG